GAGAGAGAGTCCAGAGAGAGAGAGTCCAGAGAGAGAGAGACCAGAGAGAGAGACCAGAGAGAGAGACCAGAGAGAGAGACCAGAGAGAGATAGAGATCAGAGAGAGAGATAGAGATCAGAGAGAGAGATAGAGATCAGAGAGAGAGATAGAGATCAGAGAGAGAGAGAGAGAGATCAGAGTGAGAGAGAGACCAGAGAGAGATAGACCAGAGAGAGACAGGAGAGAGAGAGACAGGAGAGAGAGAGACAGGAGAGAGAGAGAACAGAGAGAGAGAACAGAGAGAGAGATAGAGATCAGAGAGATAGACCAGAGAGAGAGACCAGAGAGAACAGAGAGAGAGAGACCAGAGAGAACAGAGAGAGAGAGACCAGAGAGAGAACAGAGAGAGAGAGACCAGAGAGAACAGAGAGAGAGAGACCAGAGAGAACAGAGAGAGAGAGACCAGAGAGAGAGATCAGAGAGAGAGATAGATCAGAGAGAGAGATAGACCAGAGTGAGAGAGAGACCAGAGAGAGATAGACCAGAGAGAGACAGGAGAGAGAGAGAACAGAGAGATAGAGAGATCAGAGAGAGAGAGAGACCAGAGAGAGAGAGAGACCAGAGAGAGAGAGAGAGACCAGAGAGAGAGAGACCAGAGAGAGAGAGAGACCAGAGAGAGAGAGAGGCCAGAGAGAGAGAGAACAGAGAGAGAGATAGACCAGAGTGAGAGAGAGACCAGAGAGAGATAGACCAGAGAGAGACAGGAGAGAGAGAGAACAGAGAGAGAGAGAGACCAGAGAGAGAGAGAGACCAGAGAGAGAGAGAGACCAGAGAGAGAGAGAGACCAGAGAGAGAGAGAGACCAGAGAGAGAGAGAGACCAGAGAGAGAGAGAGAACAGAGAGTCGTAGCCTAGGCCCCCCAGAGAACACTGAGAGAGAGATAAACCAGCTATGAGAGAGAGATAGCACACTTTCCCCAGAGTGAGAGAGAGACCAGAGAGAGCCATACATCCACCTCAGACCATCGAAGAGAGACACCTTCAGAAACGCACCCGGGCCGGACCCTGCCTGAGAGAGAGAACAGAGAGGAGCTGTCTAATCGGTGTCAAAGTCGCCCAACGGCTGGGACTAAGTACAGAAGACCTTATTCCCGTATCCATGACGATGAAGGCCGCAAACGATGAGGGAATACGGATTCTCGGGGCCGCCGTCGTCAGGTTCGCTGGTACCAGCAGCGACGCCCGTAGATTGGAGACGCGCCAAATCGCATACGTGACAGACACCTCAGACCGTATATTCCTTTCTCGTACGGCCTGTGTAGACCTGGGCATGATCTCAGACAAGTTTCCAACGCTCGGGGAGGTCAACCTGGCGACCTCGGACCCATGTGACTGCCCGCAACGCGCGGAGCCCCCAACCAGACCGACTACGCTCCCCATGCCGGCCACTGAAGCTAACAGAGAGGCTCTACGGAAACACCTACTGGGGCTATACGCTCAGAGCACATTCAATACGTGCCCCCACCAGCCCCTGCCAAGAATGTCCGGTCCGCCACTTCGACTCATGCTCAATGAAAATGCGACGCCAGTTGCCTGCCACACCCCGATTCCCGTGGCCATACACTGGCAAAATGAAGTGAAGGCAGGCCTTGACCAGGACGTTCGTCTTGGCGTCCTGGAAGAGGTGCCCATCGGCACGCCGGTGACGTGGTGTCATCGCATGGTAATCTGCGCGAAAAAGAATGGCACACCTCGGCGCACCGTCGACTTCCAAGCCCTGAACAAGCATGCGCTCCGTGAGACCCACCACACACAGTCCCCCTTCCACCAGGCGAGACAGGTTCCCAGTGGCAAACGCAAGACTGTGTTCGACGCTTGGAATGGCTATCACAGCGTCCCACTGCATGAGGACGACCGCCACAAGACGACGTTCATCACCCCTTGGGGGCGCTACCGGTACCTCTCAGCCCCACAAGGATACTTGGCGTCGGGGGACGGTTACTCACGACGCTATGACGAAGTGGTCGCGGACATTGGCAACAAGACCAAGTGTGTGGACGACACATTACTGTGGGCGGATTCGATTGAGGAGAGCTACTTCCAGGCAATACAATGGCTGGACGTCTGTGGCAGGAACGGCATCATCCTCAACCCAGATAAGTTTGTCTTTGCTGCACCCACAGTGGACTTTGCTGGCTTCACAATCACCATGTCTGATGTACGCCCGTGCAGCCGTTACCTGGAGGCGATCCGAGACTTTCCACGACCGCGCAACGTCACCGACGTCAGGTCATGGTTCGGACTTGTCAATCAGGTAGCCTACGCCTTTAGCATAGCCGAACGTATGCAACCATTCCGGAAACTCCTGCAGCATGAGACACGCTTTGAGTGGTCTCCGGAGTTGGAGGACATTTTCCGCGAGTCGAAAGAGACCATCGTCCGGGAGATCGAGCACGGCGTCCGCATATTCGACAAGTCCAAGTCGACGTGCCTCGCCACAGACTGGTCGAAGGAGGGCGTCGGTTTCTGGCTGTTCCAGAAGCACTGTCAGTGCATGCCGGTCAGACCCTTCTGCTGCGCCGATGGGTGGAAGGTGACCTTGGTTGGCAGCAGGTTTACACACGCAGCTGAGTCCAGATACGCGCCCGTAGAAGGTGAAGCTCTTGCAGTCGCTGACGCATTGGACAAAGCACGCTACTTCGTCTTAGGTTGCAGGGACCTGATCGTGGCGGTCGACCACAAGCCGTTACTCAAGCTCCTTGGCGACAGGGCACTCGACGACATACCCAACCCCCGTCTCAGGAACCTCAAGGAAAAGACCCTGCGCTATCGCTTCCGCATCGTACACGTGCCGGGGATGAAGAACAGGGCCGCGGATGCCATGTCGCGTAGGCCGGTCGGCACGCTGTGCCCGTCACCCATGGATTTGCCGGACGACAATGCTGCCATGGTGACGCACCTCTCGCCCAGCACACACGCTGATGTCCTGTCCCTTATACGACTGACAGGGCCAGTAAACGACGAAGTTGAGGAAGGAGACCTGACCTGGTGCGCTGCTGGGCTTGAATCGCTGCGGTCCGTGACGTGGGATCGCGTCAAGGAGGCCACCTGCAGCGACGACGACATGCGTGCACTGGAGGAGATAGCAGCGGACGGCTTCCCCGAGTCGAGGACAGGAATGCCGGTGGCCATTCGCAACTTCCACCAATACCGCGAAGACATTACATCTGCTGATGGGGTGGTCCTGTACAAGGACAGAGTGATCATTCCACCCTCGCTCCGTGGTGAGGTACTGAGTGCCCTGCATGCTGCCCACCAGGGTGTCTCAATGATGACCGCTCGTGCCGAGTCTTCTGTGTTCTGGCCAGGCATGTCGGCCGACATCTCCGCCACTCGAAAAGACTGCGAGCACTGTCACCGAATGGCACCCTCTCAGCCTGCGGCGCCGCCGACCCCTCCTATCATGGCTGTATACCCCTTTCAGGCTGTGTGTTCAGACTTTTTCATGCACAGGGGCGTGCACTACCTTGTGATAGTGGACCGCTACTCGAACTGGCCAATCGTCTCGAGATCAACGGGTGGCGCTGCGGACCTCATTTGCCACCTACGCCGCGCTTTTGCAACATATGGGACGCCTGAGGAGCTGGCATCAGACGGGGGGCCTGAGTTCACCTCCGCTGAGACCAGGTCTTTCCTGCGCAGATGGGGTGTGCATCATCGCCTCTCATCGGTGGCCTTCCCTCACAGCAACTGCCGCGCGGAGATTGGAGTGAAGACGATGAAGCGGCTCATCACTGACAATACAGGTCCGCACGGCGAACTCGACACTGACGCGGTGCAGAGGGCGATACTGCAATACCGTAATACACCGGACCCTGACACGAAGCTTTCTCCGGCGTTGTGTGTCTTCGGCCGCCCTATACGCGATTTCATCCCGATTCCCCCCGGGAAGTACAGGCCGCACGAAACATGGCGTGAGACGCTGGTTGCAAGAGAGGAGGCCCTCCGCAAACGCCACGTCCGCACTGCTGTTGCTTGGGCGGAACACACCAAACGACTCCCACCCCTCAAGGTGGGGGACTTTGTCCGTGTGCAGAACCAGACGGGACCTCACCCCAACAAATGGGACAGGACGGGCAGTGTTGTGGAGGTGCGCCAGCATGACCAGTATGTAATCAAGATTGACGGATCGGGCAGGGTCTCGCTTCGGAACCGGAGATTCTTGTGCAAGTTCTACCCAGTTCGCAATGACCAGCTTCCTCCTCGATCTCTCTATGACGACTTGGCGCCTTGTGTCACGATGCCAGCTCTTCCTGTGTCGCCATTGCCGTCCAGTCGTGTGTGCAGCCCGGTGACACCTGTGGTGGAGTCTGGGCCCACCCCGCCGCCGACGCATCCACCTGCGGGCTCTCCCCGCCGCGGTTTGCGGCCAGTTTCCCTCATGCCTGCGGTGCCAGCCCGGGACATCCCTTGTACTCCGCCACCGGACTCTGTGGCCCCCTTGGCCCCTTCGCCGCCGGCTGCGTCGCCAGCTACGGAGTTACGCCGGTCCACCAGGAAAGCCGGTGTGCCTGCCTGGCATGGGGACTATGTCTTGGAATAGTCTTGGGGTTTTGTGGGCATTGTGTTCCTGTTGGATCTTCCATTTGTGTTTCTAGTTCCTCTGCCCTGTACACTTTCACGTTAGTGTTGCACTATGGTCCTTCGTGCCGTTTTTCTTTATCAGCCTTTGTGTTACTGTGTTAAAGGCTCGGGGGGAGATAGGGAATATTGCATTACGGTCCTTTATTTTGTAGGACATAGCGGAACAGGAAGTCATAACATGTAAACCTTCCGGCTTCATCAGACGCTCATGACATGTTTGATTATTGTCATTCTACTGCTGTTACTCATTAAAGCAAGTGAGCAAATGGAACTTCGTTCTTATTTAGTTTTAAGAGTAAGAGTTTTGTTTAAAGTTTGTTTTAAGCAGTCCACTGCTCCTGGGAAACTACACTGCTAGTGTGCCCAAATCTGACTTGCGCATGTGCAGAAACCCGCCAGAATGGGGAAAAAACTCAATCTAATTAAATATTTAGTTTGAACGCACTATTGTTAATCATATTGAATACAGTATGATACATGCATACAATTTAATTTATTATTTCCATTATCAACCCGACAGACCAGTCACAGGACGCGTCATGGGCCTGACGTATGCAGCGGTCAACTCAGGGACCGCTATCACACAGCAGCAGTGTAGTTTCACAGCAGCAGTGTAGTTTCACAAGAGCAGTGGACTGCTTAAAACAAACTCTTACTCTAAAAACACACATATCACAACGCGGAACCATCAACATCTCGCCTCAAATTACATTAAAAGTGACATTTGTGTCTTAACTCGTTCGTATTTTAACTTTTAAAGCCATTCGCGGACTACATGTCCGCCATCTTGGTTTGCTTTGGCTGCCGTGAGACGCGCAGCGCAGGTTTGCATTACATCATTAACAGCTGAGCCAGATCATCTCGACGGGCAGACCAACTCCACAGAACACCGGCACGGCCAAGTTATTTTGCATTTCCACTATGGGTTGGGGTCAGGGTTTGGGAACTTCTTTCGTACCACCTTGACTGTAGTTTCAACCGCGCCGAACCTACACCATGACGTCACGTCGGCCTACTGCCTTACACTGATTGGTCAACGAGTCACTGGAAGAGACATCTGACCCTTTGGTAAAAACAACTCAACCTCTATCTTTAACACCGCCGCTCTAGCATTGAAGCAAGCCTTAACTAAACACTGCCGAAAAATACGTTTCTAGAGAGGGACAAGAAGCATCTTATGAACACAGTTTATGGAATTAATATTTCTTACACATTCATTTACGACCAAAATGATCAAATATAGTTTTATACCTGATTTTGAGCCACGTTGTTAATGTTGTTGCCCTCTGCCATGATCAACTCTGCGCAGGCTCGATTCTTAATGTCTGTGAGCAGTGACGTCATATTGACAGTTTGCTGAAATTCGTATTCTCAAAGAAAATGCAGGCACAAAAAAAAACTTCACAAATAAGAAATCACACAGTTTTATATTCTTAATTACGAAGTTCCATGTCTTTTTAGTTTGTATTATCTTAATCATGAATTAATAAAATATGTTTATGCACAAATTGCGCATAAATGACGTGGTCTGACAATCCCGCCCACGCTGAAGAGGTACTATTTTTAATGAAAAAGCACTCGAACTCGGCCGTGCTGCACCGTACCGTACCGTTACTGTGGAAAAGCGGCAATAGACTGTAGCAGGAGGGACTAACCAAGGACTGCAGAGCATGTCCAAACTCAGGCCCGGGGGCTAATTGCTAGCCTGGCTCTGCCAGACCCATGTAGTTCCACGATGCTCCACCAGAGGTGTTTGAGCCACATTTGTCTGGGACTCTTTGATAAGAGTTGGATTTCAGAAGGCAGGGCCTTGTAGAAAAAAATCCTTGTATGCGATTGGATAAACCACTTGTCAGTTTTCTTGAATGACGTCTGCTTTCAACCACTCACATCATAGCACACGTCTCCCATGGGTTGCCAAATGCCGGCAAGATTTTCCAGCCCAAAATCCGCAAGAATGCCCAAAAACAAAAAAACACTCATGCTAAAAACATAATGTAATCAACTTGGGCTATCATGATTCTGTTTATTGTCTTTCTGTTTATTTATTACCTACAAGTCTCTTGGAAAAAGTATGCGGGAACCACCAAACCTGGCAACCCTGCTGCATAGTGTTGTAACAGGAACACCTACCCCAGTGCTTAGACCAAATTTTACATGGACATTTGACTCTTAAAATACACATATCAACATGGAACCATCAACATGGAACCATCAACATGGAACCATCAACATCTCGCCTCAAATTGCATTAAAAGTGACATCCGTGTCTTTATTTGTTCGTATTTAAACTTTTAAAAAGATTCGCGGTCCGCCATCTTAGATTCCTTTCGCGGCTGTGTCAGACACGCACGAGAAGGCAGTGCAAACCCGACGTAACACCGGCGATCCTGATTGGTCGATGATTTTCTGATCTGCTGAAAGAGTTTGGTATACGCTCGATATACGCTCAAACACCTCTGGTGGAGCACGGCAGAACTACATGGGTCTGGCAGAGCCAGGCTCGCTAATTGCGGCATTCAGCGTCATTTTAAGTGGCTCTGCCTTGTTAACCCAAAGTAGTCTGAGATCATAAACACAAGTTCACTGTGTCATCCATCCAACTTCAGCTCAGCCAACATAGACATGTGGTAACTCATTCTAAAGCCCAGTACGTCTGGAAATCAGCTGTTGACTTTATCTGTATACTTTGTACATATTGATGTGGTTTTTGACTGTGTCACTTCCGTTAATTATGTTACTGTAGCTAGTGAGATGGTAAACATTTGTCATTCAGCCAACTTCAGCTCTGTTATAGATCCTTTTAAAGCTCAAAACAGCCCAAGGCCAGTTAAGACAGTTTTTCAGTCCGTGACTAGTCTGGGGAACTAAAGTGGTCCTTTTACTAACAAGAGAGAGACCCCTGATCCAGAGGGGGGAGAAAGAGTGACTCCTGATTTTACTATTCATTTGGACTATCAGTTAGATAGTATTACAGCTTGGAGCTGAAGGACCATGTGTTCAGGGGATTCACCTGGTACTGCAGGTCATGTGTGTTCTGTATTCATAAATAAATGTAAAAAGATACAAGAGAAACTGAGAATACTCCAGCAGTCTCTTAAATCACTTAAAACACACTTTTATTGAACAGCTTTTAACTGTTAGTATTAAACTTCACTTGTATTTTACCTGCTGTCTTTCTGTATCTTCTATTCTATCTTTTTATAATCATGACTGTTTCATTGTTTATAATGCAGACTGTGACTGAGATGCTCCTTTAAACATGTGTCTGTGGTGGATGTGCTTCTGCTGGACACCTGCATTTCTTCAACAGGGATCAGTGAAGTATCTGTTCTGTCCATACTGCTCCAGCTTACTTACATCACATATCTCTAGATGCTAAATACTCATTTCTCCTGTTATGAAGCATTTACAGTTACTTTTGCTGCAACACCGACAAAGGTTCTCGGATCTTAAAAAAGGAAATTGAACAAATGAAAGAAGTTCAAAACAAGACGTTAACAAAGTCATGAAGTGACGGGACTTTCACTTTACCTGGATTCCTCTAACGAACCTCTGAACATCCACGTGTCCAGTAACAAAAAATAAATTACTTTAAATTCTACTACTGCAGCGTTGCCTCGGAAACCATTTTTTACTATTCATCAGAACTATAAGAACATTTATCTTTTATCATATTTCATCATATTCTCATCAAGCGAACAAGAAACACTGCCATTGACAGAGAAAGAGTAATGCATCACTTTAAGATAACGCATTTAGACAGCTGCCCTGGGACACACTGACAGAAGCGAGGAAACCAGTCTGTGCCCCACTGTGACACCTGGTCTCCCATCACAACACTAACCAGGCCCTGTCTTGCTTAGCTACAAAAGTCTCCCATCACAACACTAGCCAGGCCCCGTCTTGCTTAGCTTCAGAGGTCTCCCATCACAGAACTAACCAGGCCCTGTCTTGCATAGCTTCAGAGGTCTCCCATCACAGAACAGACCAGGCCCTGTCTTGCATACTGTAGCTTCAGAGGTCTCCCATCACAGCACTAACCAGGCCCTGACTTGCTTAGCTACAGGAGGTCTCCCATCACAGCACTAACCAGGCCCTGACTTGCTTAGCTACAGGAGGTCTCCGATCACAGCACTAACCAGGCCCTTCCCTGCTTAGCTTTGTCAGGGTTGTGGGGACGAAGCCACATCATAAAGACGCACAACTTTTTACACAACACTAAAAGCAAAAGCAAATGTTTGTTTCTATTTTTGGTAAAATAATCTTGTTTTTGGGTCAAAACTTTCAAACTAAATGTAGACTATTTCAGACAGAAGCATCAGGTCCTTTTTATGTGTTTCGTGGTCGGAACAGGGCCTTTCTGAGTGGAGTTTGCATGTTCTCCCTGTATCTGCATAGGTTTCCTCCGGGTGCTCCGGTTTCCCCTACCACTAAAAACATGTACAATAGATCTGAATGTAGCCTGGCCTTATCCATCCGTACTCTCCTGTCAATCATCATTTCACTGCATGTAACGTCTGGGTCTAGTTCCTGCGTTAGCGAATACAAGCGGTTGAATTTCGACCGACCAATCAGAGAGCGCGGGAGGCGGGTGTTGTAGTTAGTTGTGGGTGACGTCAAGAGTTTGCGTCGAACGAGCAGGTTCTAGTAAAGTAAAGATAATAAAGTATTCCGGTCTGATTCTATCAAGAAATTGAAGCCGGAGCAAGAGAAATGTTTAGCAAATGTAATCGCTGGAAAGATTGTGGCGCTACTCCCCACGGGCTCCGTTAGCAGTACATATTGTGTGCATCGGTTACGCAAAGACACGTACGCACACTAGAGAATAGTTCTGTAATAGTTCTGTGCGTGGTCTTGGATATGATCCCATTACGCAGCGCCGTTCGCCGTCATCACAGCCGCTGGAAGTGGGACCTGTCCAGAGCGCTGCCCGCAGCTCATCATGCAGAGTTCATACAGGAAACAACACGTGCTTCGCGGTCACGCGTGTATTCTTTCAAAACTTGAATTCCCAGAGGGCCTACTTGTCCCCATCTTACACGCGCATGTGTCCGCGGCATTGTGAGTGTTATTATGGGACGCATGGGCATGCGTCAAATCCGTTAATTTTTTTTAACTCGATTAATGAAAAAAATTAATTAACGTGCGTTAACGCAATAATTTTGACAGCCCTAAAATAAACATGACTTACTTATAAAGCTAGTTTTCACAACACAACAAAATACAGGTACGCAAAGGTACTTGTATTGGTTTTGAAACACAATAACACAACACAACACAACCCAGGGAACAGTCTAGAGTCCAGAGGTCACATGACTATTATTGACTTTAGAGTTTTAAATGTGACCAGTGCAGGACTCTCCCATAAGTCTCCGGTCTCTGCGTCTGCACAGGTCAGATCTCTGCAGCTCACATCTGGGACAGTCTTCCTGAAGATGTGAGACAGGCTCCTTCTCTGAGAGTTTTCAAATCCAGGTTAAAAACGATTTTCATTCAACAACTGATGGAATTTATCTTTGTTAATACCTGCAGGTGAAAGCCAGACCCTGACTCACCTCTGAAGCTAAGCAGGACAGTGCCTGGTAAGTTTTGTGATGGGAGACCTCTGGAAATACACCAGGTGCCACAGTGGGGCGGCTGCGGCTGTAAAGTGCCAAACTGTGGTTGTGTCCTTTGGCAAAACACGTCACTCACATTAGAAAGAGTCTGGTGTGTGTGAATGGTTGGTGGTGATGGGAGGGGCCTCGCTTCTGTCAGTGTGCCCCAGGGCAGCCGTGGCTACAGTAGTATTCTATCACCACCGTGTTTAGAGTGACAGAATAATGACATATGAAGCGTGTTTATTATTATTATTATTAGTAAATCCTGGTGTGATTTCCTTCAGCACTTTGATTTGCATATACCCTGTGCCATACAAATAAACCAGCCTTGCCCGCGCGCTTAACATTTCACACGCATACGCCGTTCGGGAGGCTGCTCATTTATCACCTCCGTGTGCCTCGGTTCTGATTGGGTGCACGCTCTGCCCTATCCCCGGCCGCGTCCCTTCCCTGCCGCCCCACGGAGCTCCCTCTCGTTGGCTCCGGAATCAAAAAACGTGCCCAGTCCATCGGCACACACTGCGGCATCCACACATGGCCATGCACCGCTATCAGTCTCCCAAGGAAACGTGACTGGCCAATAACACAACACAACACACAATATACACACACACACAACGCGCGCGCCTCTCCCATTCACTGTTTCTGACGCATGACATTACACACACTGGGATGCCCTTGAACGTAGAATTTCCACGCGTTACTGCAGTTTTTGGCCTCAAGGGTGTTCCATCTCCCCTCGCGTGTGTGTGTCCGTGTGTGTGTCCGTGTGTGTGTGTGATGTGTGTATGCATGCTCACCTGTCTTGCTCAGCACCACAGACATGGACCATGCCACAAACAGGACGCTGCAGACGAAGCAGACCTGCACAAACAGCTTCTCTCTCCGCTTCCGAACTTTGAAGATTTTACCCATGAACGTCTTTTTGGAGGGAGCTGCGTCCGCCGTGTCCCGTACTTCCATGCCGTCTGCCGCGTCCGTCATGTCCCGTACTTCCATGCCGTCTGCTGCTGTTGATTTCCGCGAGTCACCCCAGCCACTTTTCCCTGGCTCTAGCCCGTTCCGTCCTGCGTCCTTGAGATCCCTCTCCACACACGCGTCTCTTGCTGTATTTGCGTTTAAATGATGTGTAGATTCAGTTTTCTCCCATTCTGACTCTACGCACGTTACGCAGATGCGATTGGGTTTTTATTTTTTTTATTTCTTCACGCACTGGGCAATGACACCGCGGTCAAATCTACGGATTGCAAATCAGCTTGTGGAAGAAAGAGAAGAAGAAGTAGTGATAGTAGCGATGGCACACGACACCCCGCTGCGGGCTCTCATCACGCCGAACCCCAGCTCGTCTTCCATGCGGGAGAAACAGCGGCCGTCGTGCGTCCTCTGCCCCGGTCGGCTGTGGCTGGATGTCCCGGTCTGTCTCGGATGCGTCGGTGTCGGTGTGTGTGTGTGAGAGAGAGAGAGAGTAAAAGGAGAGAGGACCCCCCGCTGCTGCTGCTGCTGCTACTGCTGCAGATAAATGTTCTTCCAACACAAAAACGCGATGGTAAACTCCAAACACCTGCGTCTCTGAGTGCGTCCAATGCGCGCGTCGTGTGGAGGTGGGCTGGACGTGCACAGTGCCCCCTCCTCACCACACCCCCGCCCGCTCCGCTCTGCTCTGCACAGTCCCTGGGCTGGAGGAGGGCAGCAGTAGAAGTACAAGTATCAGTAGTAGTAAGTAACAGCAGTAGTATGGGCGGAAATCAACATATATTTGTGTGTGACCGCAGCAGTGAGCAGATTCAGATTAATTTTTTCGCCATTTGCAGTAAAACCACATTAGAATACATTAGCAAAAGTTCCCAGTGTGCACAGACAAGTACAGACATAAAACAACATTAAAAGTATAGAAATGAAACAAATAAAAAGTCAACAATTGTCGCTATGAAATCGACCGACTAAAACAGTATCAATACAAAGTGCAAGATCATTAAAGTGCTCTGTGGGAAGAAGTAGTAGTAGTAGCAGTAGCAGCAGTAGTAGTAGCAGCAGTAGTAGTAGCAGTAGTAGCAGCAGTAGTAGTAGCAGCAGTAGCAGCAGTAGTAGTAGCAGCAGTAGTAGCAGTAGTAGTAGCAGCAGTAGCAGCAGTAGTAGTAGCAGCAGTAGTAGTAGCAGCAGTAGCAGCAGTAGTAGTAGCAGCAGTAGTAGCAGTAGTAGTAGCAGCAGTAGCAGCAGTAGTAGTAGCAGCAGTAGTAGTAGTAGTAGTAGCAGCAGTAGTAGTAGCAGCAGTAGTAGCAGCAGTAGAAGTAGTAGTAGCAGCAGTAGAAGTAGTAGTAGTAGCAGCAGTAGTAGCAGTAGTACGATTGGAACAGCTATTTGTGTGTGTCAAAGAGTACCGACACGTTTTGTTTAAAACAGCAATATGTAATATTTTCATGTTGATGCATAATTAAAGGGCCCTAATCTGTCTTCATTAAAGGGCCCTAATCTGTCATCATTAAAGGGCCCTAATCTGTCTTCATTAAAGGGCCATAATCTATCGTCATTAAAGGGGCCTAATCTGTCTTCATTAAAGGGCCCTAATCTGTCATTAAAGGGTCCTAATCTGTCTTCATTAAAGTGCCATAATCTGTCATCATTAAAGGGCCCTAATCTGTCATCATTAAAGGGCCCTGATCTATCGTCATTAAAGGGTCATATTCTGTCTTCATTAAAGGGTCATAATCTGTCTTCATTAAAGGGCCATAATCTGTCATCATTAAAGGGCCCTAATCTGTCATCATTAAAGGGCCCTAATCTGTCATCATTAAAGGGCCCTAATCTGTCGTCATTAAAGGGCCATAATCTGTCATCATTAAAGGGCCCTAATCTGTCATTATTAAAGGGCCCTAATCTATCGTCATTAAAGGGCCCTAATCTGTCTTCATTAAAGGGCCCTAATCTATCGTCATTAAAGGGCTCTAATCTGTCATCATTAAAGGGCCCTAATCTGTCATCATTAAAGGGCCCTTATCTGTCTTCATTAAAGGGCCATAATCTGTCATCATTAAAGGGCCCTAATCTGTCATCATTAAAGGGCCCTAATCTGTCATCATTAAAAGGCCCTAATCTGTCGTCATTAAAGGGCCATAATCTGTCATCATTAAAGGGCCCTAATCTGTCATCATTAAAGGGCCCTGATCTATCGTCATTAAAGGGCCCTAATCTGTCATCATTAAAGGGCCCTAATCTGTCGTCATTAAGGGGCCATAATCTGTCATCATTAAAGGGCCCTAATCTGTCATTATTAAAGGGCCCTAATCTATCGTCATTAAAGGGCCCTAATCTGTCTTCATTAATGGGCCCTAATCTATTGTCATTAAAGGGCTCTAATCTGTCATCATTAAAGGGCCCTTATCTGTCATCATTAAAGGGCCCTAATCTGTCTTCATTAAAGGGCCATAATCTCTCATCATTAAAGGGCCCTAATCTGTCATCATTAAAGGGCCCTAATCTGTCATCATTAAAAGGCCCTAATCTGTCGTCATTAAAGGGCCCTAATCTGTCATCATTAAAGGGCCCTAATCTGTCATCATTAAAGGGCCCTAATCTGTCATCATTAAAGGGCCCTAATCTTTCCTCATTAAAGGGCCCTAATCTATCGTCATTAAAGGGCCCTAATCTGTCTTCATTAAAGGGCCCTAATATATCGTCATTAAAGGGCCCAATCTATCTTCATTAAAGGGCCATAATCTGTCATCATTAAAGGGCCATAATCTGTCATCATTAAAGGGCCCTAATCTGTCATCATTAAAGGGCCCTAATCTGTCATAATTAAAGGGCCCTAATCTGTCATCATTAAAGGGCCCTAATCTGTCCTCATGAAAGGGCCATAATCTGTCATCATTAAAGGGCCCTAATCTGTCATCATTAAAGGGCCTAATCTGTCATGATTAAAGGGCCCTAATCTGTCATCATTAAAGGGCCCTAATCTGTCATAATAATAAACTGCTCATTTCCAATCCTTCTTTAACTGATAACAGTCGTTCAGAGATATTTGAATTTCTAAATTACTTTTCCAGCCTCTAAATCTTGTTATTGTTTTCATTTCGATGTCCCGCCCTCCACTGTTTCACCAATCAGAAAGTCTGTGATCCAGACTGTGTGTGCGCCAGAACTCACTGCGTGGAGCTAATCTCACTGGTAAAGTACCATGTGGCACAGAACTAAAAAAGGTCTCGTTATGATTCTCAAATCATTAAGGACAAAACAAGGAATAAAACCAGGATTTCTATCTTTGTGAAAAAGGTGTTGGTTATAGATTTGTTGTTGACAAAACTCTTGTCTATTCAGCTGTTATGGTCCCAGCTGGATTCGTCTGCATATCTGGCAACCTGAGTCAGGGAGAGTGGGAGAGGCTGCAGTACCACTTTTGGACACATTTGTTACAGACTGCTGTTACACAAGTCCAACAGAAAGTCTTGTTTAAGTACTATGGTCTTTGGAGTTTGCATGTTCTCCCTGTGTCTGTGTAGGTTTCCTCTAGGTGCTCCGGTTTCCCCAAACACTAAAAACAATAGTTGAAGTCAAAAGTGACACTAAAGAATCTCTAACATCTTTGAATGGACTTCCTTTGGTTTTGTCATTTGTATCAGACCTATTGCACACGTTTTAGGGGTCAGGGACACCGGAGCACCTGGAGGAAACCCACATAGACACAGGGAGAACATGCAACTCCACACAGAAGAGATGGAATCGAACCCAGATCGCCCTCGAGTCGGTCTCAAGTCGATGCCACTAGAGCAAAAAAGTTAAAAAGGTGAAGTTTTGGCCTCTTCTCTGTAGTCTCTCTGATTACAAGTGGTAACAGAAGAAAGTCTTTTGCATAAGTTTGTATTTTTGAGAGGGACCATAAAGGAATAAGTTCAAAACAATCGTAAAAAGACGTGATTATGTAAATTGAGGCCAGTTCTAGTTTTATTTTACTGTTACTAATCTGGCTTCAAGGTTCTTTATTGTTTTATTAAAATACTTTGATTCAATTCAAAGTATTTAGTATCGCCCTAAATCACAGCAGGAGTTCTCTGAGGACTCTGCAAAGTTGTTGATTCACCAAATCACAGCTGGTTTTCTTTACATATTGAAACAAAGTTTTTTGTTAACGGAAACATTTATTTTGATCCTAAAGTAATGTTGATAATTGTCTTATCTTTAAATGTAGTTATTTTTGAAGAATCATCTTAAAAATGCAAAATGCTGCAGCAGCTCATGACGAAGGTTTTAGGACCATTTATCAGAGAGTTCTGCTGTTTTTATTTATCTATTTACCTCCTGCTGGGACTCTAAGGAGCAAAGGGACTGGACTCCTGCTGGGACTCTGAGGAGCACAGGGACTGGCCTCCTGCTGGGACTCTGAGGAGCACAGGGACTGGCCTCCTGCTGGGACTCTGAGGAGCACAGGGACTGGCCTCCTGCTGGGACTCTGAGGAGCACAGGGACTGGCCTCCTGCTGGGACTCTGAGGACCACAGGGACTGGTCTCCTGCTGGGACTCTGAGGAGCACAGGGACTGGCCTCCTGCTGGGACTCTGAGGAGCACAGGGACTGGCCTCCTGCTGGGACTCTGAGGACCACAGGGACTGGTCTCCTGCTGGGACTCTGAGGAGCACAGGGACTGGCCTCCTGCTGGGACTCTGAGGACCACAGGGACTGGCCTCCTGCTGGGACTCTGAGGAGCACAGGGACTGGTCTCCTGCTGGGACTCTGAGGAGCACAGGGACTGGCCTCCTGCTGGGACTCTGAGGACCACAGGGACTGGTCTCCTGCTGGGACTCTGAGGAGCACAGGGACTGGCCTCCTGCTGGGACTCTAAGGAGCACAGGGACTGGCCTCCTGCTGGGACTCTGAGGAGCACAGGGACTGGCCTCCTGCTGGGACTCTAAGGAGCACAGGGACTGGCTTCCTGCTGGGACTCTGAGGCGGACTCTGAGGAGTACAGGGACTGGCCTCCTGCTGGGACTCTGAGGAGCACAGGGACTGGCCTCCTGCTGGGACTCTGAGGACCACAGGGACTGGTCTCCTGCTGGGACTCTGAGGAGCACAGGGACTGGCCCCCTGCTGGGACTCTGAGGAGCACAGGGACTGGCCTCCTGCTGGGACTCTGAGGAGCACAGGGACTGGCCTTCTGCTGGGACTCAAAGGAGCACAGGGACTGGCCTCCTGCTGGGACTCTGAGGAGCACAGGGACTGGCCTCCTGCTGGGACTCTGAGGAGCACAGGGACTGGCCTCCTGCTGGGACTCTGAGGAGCACAGGGACTGGCCTCCTGCTGGTGCCCACAGTCAGGCAGCTAAAATCTGGATCAGTCTTCCTGAAAATGTGAGACAGACTTCTCTGACAATGTCAGTTTTGCTGCAACAACTGAAGTATTGTGTCTTCAGTCTTTTTAAAGTTCGCTGATTATTTAGATTTTTCCTCCTTATTTTAAATCAAATTATTGATATAAATTGTCATCATGTGTGTCCAGCACTTCTGGTCTTACCATACCACTGTACTCAGTACATGTAGGAACTGATCATTGACCAGAGTTTACGGAGGACTGAGGCCAGACTATCATGAACTGTGCTATCCGTATAAACTTGCCACAAAGACAGTGAGCGGCAGCATTTATTGGTGTATCGCCCTCTACTCTACTCTACTCTACTCTACTCTACCCTACCCTACCCTACCCTACCCTA